AAACTATTAAAGTGCCCTTCCTCTACTTATCTATTGTTGGTGGTAAATCCTACCCTACTATTAATGTACTGTACTACCACGTTGACCGTCCTTCGAATCCATCAGCTCTCTAATCATTTATCCCTCCAGTCATATTCTTTACAAAATTTACAGTCGGTCAATGGTGAGTGCATGGGTTTCTGTTTTACTCAGAAAGTAACATGCCCTTTCCTTTTCGGATGTTTTCTATCTTCCTTTCGCAATTATTTAAAAAATTTCGTCCTATCCCTACCCAAAAGAACTCATTCGCGTCCCGTTTACTTGTTTTTTTATCCCCGTGAATACTTGCCCCGCTCAGTTTAGTTCCATAATTTTTATTCTTTTTTTTTTTTTTTTTTTCTTAAATACAATTTATATAATTATTGAAAAAATTCATAAAAAATTGTATTCAATAATTTAATATGAAATTAATTGGTATGAGCGATCTTAATTTATAGAGTTCTACCGTTCTCTAAAATGATTGTGAAAGTGAGTAAATATAATTTAAAATTTCTAGAGTTAATTATATATACTAATAAAATAAGAGTAATTTAATAATTACCTACCTAAATGGGACGAGGTGACCTCCCCCCACCTCTGTCCCGAACCTGCTGAGAATTTTCATTTATAAAAATCATTTCTATCCAAATAAATTAAGCGGTTCCCCAAACTAACTATAAACAGGAAACGGGGCAAAGTGGGGTGGGTACCCGTCCATGCGGGACAAATTGTTATCCCTATTTGTCAACACTAAAAAATAATTTTAAAAAAAAAAAAAAAAAAAAAAAAACCTCCAATAAGAGAAATTCTTTATGTTTCGATCATATAGTCTCCGAATCATGTAACTAATTTTATTGTGACTTGCTCATTGAACATGTTTTCTAACTGTCACAAACAATACCAATAAAGTGATAAAGAAAGGTTGGAAACAATAGATTTGTAGTAAAATTAGTCCATGTTGGATTAATAAAGAATAGAAGGAACCCCGTAAAGCTTTATTGTTTTACAAAATTGGCAAAGAAGGATGATACCAGAGGGCCTAAGAATGCAAATGTGATATTAGACTCCAAACAACTTGCACAGAGAGACTCACGTACGATTTTCATATTTTTCCATCCGTTTTTTTGAAATAAATAAACTTTCATAGACGCTTTTGGTACATCATACTGTGATTTCCTTTTCTTGAATTTTCAGGTCAATGGTGACGGTAGAAAATGCCACCCAAGTAGGTGGTTGTTGTATTGATCTTACTTTTCGGCCATTAATTAATTTTCCCTAAAAAATCTTATTAGTTGGTGTTTATTGGGAGTGTGCTTTTCATGGGTGGTCCGTTCTTCAACAAAAAAATTGAATTGGAGTGAATTCATACAAATTTCGGTATATCGGGATATAAGAGAACCAGTGAATTCAAATTCCGATTCGAATGACAAATCATGGATACAACTAAACACAAGAGTCTTAGTAAATTAATTTAAATCACATGAGTACCATTCATCCCAGGTGACAATCAAAAGATAAATCACACCAACAAAAGAAAAAATAATAGCGTCTCCAAATGTATGTTAAAAAATTCTTTTATTTAAAATATACACTATCATATATTATTTGTAATTTTTTTTTCATCTCCAGCACATTACTAATATGTAAGAATAATACTTAGCTATTCACTGGTGAGTAGCTTCACCTTACTCACCCCTCAGGTGTTCCAATAACAACATACCACATCAGCTTTAATAAAAAAGTTATTCAATGGTTGATCTGAGATAATACAGAGAACGTGGATTATTTGGTTATTAAAGCTGATATGGTATATTGTCATTGGAACACACGAGGGGTGAGTAGTTAAGTATTATCTAATATTGAAAAATATTATGTATTTTACACAGCTACGTAAGCATATTTTCTCTCTCCTTCCCTTTTTTCACTCGCAGTTCTCTTTCTTCTCTCTCATTCCTTTACGCGCACAACTTACACCAAGATAAAAACTGCTCGACCATCTTTTATTTTATTTTTTAATCTACATAGTTTGATTCATCACCTTCATTTTATCTTATTTTTTATAATCATCACCGTAGATGCTACGTTTTTTTTAGATTTTTTTTTCATTTTACATTCTATTCTAATGAGATAAATACGTACTAGCTAACCAACTATTAGATATATATTTTAATCACGTTTTTATATAATTATTGATATAAAACCTTTGATTATGTAGTTTCTACGTATTTGAATATTATTTTATTATTTGTTATTAAGTTATAATTCTGGTGGCAGCAGGAAAGGTTTGGTGGGATGGAAAAGTGAAATATAGGAGGAAATTATTATTTTTTTTTCCTAATTGAGGAGGATTGTGACGTGAGATTTGAAGTGAATTAAGTAGGTTTGTAACAGTTACCGTATAGTCTTGAGTATGATACATGATTGGTTGTTATTGAAATTTTTTTTTTTACATAAAAAATATAAAATAATCACAAAAATTAAAAATAAGTAATACAAAATTGTTAAGTATATCTATTATGACGCATTATATTTACACAAAAATATAGAAATGCTCTAAGTGAGTGTGTACGGGCTGTTAAAGTCCCATCCAAGTAAATACTCAGCATTTGACTTGTTAAAATATTTTAAAGCATTTGACTTGGCGGAAAATATTTGACTTGTGTTAAAACATTTGACTTGCATTAGATATTTTAAATATTTATGGATAGAAAATAGTGTTAAAATCATAAAACTCTTATTATTTTTAAATTTTGATAAAAAAATCTTAACTTGCTTCAGAAAATTCTTACACTTTTTAAAAGTGATTATATTACCCTAATATAAATATCCGAAAGTTATGAAATGACAAATTTAACCTTATTATTTAATGTTAAATTAAAAATTAAAAATTATAAAAATACCCTTTAAAGTTACAAAAATTATATTCAAGAGATGGGTGAAGAAGAATAATAAGGGGTATTTTGTAATTTTTTTTAAAAAAAAAATTAATTTTCAATTTAACATTAAATAATAAAGTTAAATTTGTCATTTCGTAGTCCGATTAACGGATCGAATACAGATATTGAGACAATATGATCACTTTTTAAAAGTGTACAAGTTTTCAGAAATAAGTTGGGATTTTATGATCAAAAATTAAAAGTAGTGGGAGCGTTATGATTTTAACCTTAGAAAATAATCACACGCTATTAGACTAGAGGAGTACTATATTCTCGTACGCTAACATACCCAACAATTTTTTAGAATGGGGATTTGGATTAACGAGAAATAAAGGACGCGGGAATATATTTAAATTGAAGGCCAAGGGGGTCTATTTAGATTTGACATTACCAGTGACCTAGTTGATAGAGCTCTCTGAGCGGGCATGCCCGAGTCCCTCTCCCCCTAATTTGCTAGGATTGTAGTATATTTCATTCCAAGTTTTGAGTAATCTTCTATGTAATCTATAGACGCAATCTATATTTAATCAATCAATATTATTCATGAATAATCCAAATAAATCCTAGTATAGTGGGATACATTAGGATTGTAGTATATCGGGATTAGGGATGGCAATTTACCCCAACTCGGTGGAGAATCGCCCTACTCCCGCCCTGTTTAAAGCGGGGTTGGAGAACTGTTTATTTAAATAGGATGGGGATGGGGGTTGGGGAAAAAAAACCGGCCGAATTTGGGGCGGAGGCAAGGGAGGGGTATCTTCGCCTCGTAACCACCTTGATTCCATATGGATTTACTCCTATTAGCCCCTGCCATGTAATTGTACTTACTGATTTAACACACACACACACACACACACACACACACATATATATATATTATATTATATATACATTTATAAATAAACCCTACTTATTCCTATCTTCTAAAATGGGACGGGGCAGGGCAAGCGGGGATGGGGCGGGGGCGGTTATGGGAATTGGGGGTAAAAAAATAATTGGCTATGGGGTGGTTTTGGAGGTGCCAAATTTAAACAAGGATGGGGATAGGGAATGAGAAACCGCCCCATTGCCATCCCTATTTGGGATCCATTTCATGTCCTCTGTAGTGGATCCAAATATAGCACACGTCTAAAAATGTTAAAAGGATTTTCTGGTCGGGCCTGTAGAAGATCCAAATATAATGCTCGAGGCACAGTCTGTCCCAGTCCATCTGGCTTTACCGTGGAACAGGTATGGGCCTAAATCTTCGGACCTAGCCTGACATGTTTGGTCCGCAAGGACCCAAAAAGCAGCCTATAATTATTTCTCTTTTTCTAGGTATATTCCACTCAGGGACATAAGTGTGTTCACTTCATTGCTTAGTGCATGTTACTTTACTAACTGCCTCAACATTGATCTCAATTTGATTGATTTTTGTTTTTAATCTTCGTAAGATTGAAACAATTGATTGATATCTAAAGTATTAATCTATCTAGCAAACTTGATTGAATTATTTGTTCCCAAAAATAGTCTTAAAGAAAAGTCCATCACATTGATTGACATTAGAAATGTATCTAAATAACCAATAAAGGAAAGCTATAAATGATATTGAATTGTGCTCAATAATCAATCAATTTAATGGATTTCAATAATCGAAAGAAATTTGTATGTGCTTGCGCGCATAAGGGATCAATTATTGCTATTCCATCTACATGTTCATCTTTACTTAGGATTCTGGTACAATTTATGCTACACAAAACATAGCTTACACAACACAATACATTCTTACGAATCAAAAATGTAAAATTATAGCCGCATGTGATCTAACATAACTATTACAAAGTAATGTAAAACTGTAGCATAAGCAATGTGAAACTATTACGTTCGTATGACACAAGATAAGATGATGGTTCCTCTTATTAAGTCTGATAATTTTTCTCATACACATTGTAAATAGGTAAGTGATTAGAACTCCACAACTTATGTTTAAGATTAGCAAATTCTATATGCCTCTTCGCTTGTTAACTAGAAGAAAACACAACCAATTTCACACGATGAAAACAGAGAGCTATCAAAGAAGACTTTTCATAAACTTTTAAGTGACCACCACTTGTAAAAAAAATAAAAAATAAAAACCTGGATGAAACTTCCCAAATTCTCTGGACACAATTGAACATCACTGATCAAGTTATAATATACAACACTTGCCTCGATACACACAAGATGCACAGCTTACAGACCAAAAAGGTAAGTCCCCTACAAAAGCAAAACTAAAATAAAAAGAACCAACATAAAAAGCTATAGAACGGAAGGGGCAATAATATAAACATATGCCTCGATACACAAGAAGCTACACCTATCAACAGGATGAAGAGCTTACAGGAAGTCCCATACAAAAGCAAAACTAACACAGAAGTAATCATTGAACTAGTTGATCTATATTCTCCACAACAAGCCCTTGAAGAAAACACAGCCAATTTCACACTAAGAAAACATAGAGCTATCAAAGAAGATTTTTCCTAAACTTTTTAGTGACCGCCACATGTAACGAAGATATAAAACCTGGATAAAACTTCCCCAATTCTCTGGACACATATTCTCTCCGGCAGTCCTAGGGAAGATAAACAAAATTTATAATGAATAATTAGACATTATAAAGTAAATAAAAAATCATTAAAAACTAAAATTCATACCTTATTCAGCTTCTTGTTCGGGGAAAACAGTTTTGATGCATGAAACCCAGCGTGACCTACCATGTTTCGAATGAACCTAAGTAAGTCCGATAACACATTCCCCTTATAGGCTTGGACTCCCTATTGTGGCTGCTGCTGTTGTCCCTCTTGTGGCTGTTACAGCTGTTGTTCCTCCCGTGGCTGCTCCTGTGGTTGTAACAGCTGTTGCGGATAAAGTTAGCGTCCCTGTTGGACACCCACGGAAGGCTGGCGTCCAATTTGTCCCTGATGGAATCCCAACGGTCCTATGTAAGGCTGCAAGTATTGGACTCCCTGTGGCTGTTGTCCATGTTCGATTCTCTATTTGGCCTTTACCTCTACTGGCAGGCATCCAATTTGTCCCTGATGGAATCCCAACGGTCGCATGTAAGTCCTCAAGTGTTGGACTCCCTGTAGTCGTTATCCCCGTTTGACTCTTTGTTGGGCCTCTATTGGCAGGCCTCCAATTTGTCCCTAATGGAATCCCAACGGTGGCATGTAAGGCCGCAAGTATTGCACTCTCTATAATTTGAAACGCAATGCAAGTTCGTCCTTTTCTTTTTGTTGTTTCTTCCCAATGGTTTTCGGTAATCACCGTGTCCCAATCTTTGTTATTGCATGGATGGGGCAACAAATCAATAGCCAAATTAATGTGTGAGTTCTGTGCGTTCAACTGCAATAATCTAGATATCGGCATATTGCATTATAGTACTCAAACATCCATCAAAGCAGGATGTTTGCTTAAATTGTCCGCACTATAGCATAAAATAAAATGAAAACGAAAATCAGATATAGCAAAAAAAAAAAAACGAAAAAAAAAAGGAATAAATTAGAAAAAAAATGCTACAATAAATAACTTACTTCGCCTTACGAAACTGAAAGAATTCCATAAACCTTTGCCAGTCGTCAATTGGAGCAGAAGAATTTATTTGTTTAATCTCACCATCTAAAATCTCTTTCAATTCATCTAGATCAGTGTCTTTAGCTTCTTAAGTTGCCTTTCTCATAACTTGGTTCACTTTGTTTCGGATGACATGCATCTTACCTCCCTTTAGTACATAAGAAGAAGGCTCTGAGAGCCCACCATGTATTTTGAAATTACCATGGAGGTAGACAACTGTCCTCAAAATATTCCTACAACATTGATAATTGAAAAAAAATTAGATTGGAATTGAAAAAAAAAAAAAAATTATATTTTTTATTTTTTTTAAACACAACAACAACAAAGAAAGATTGTTACTTTATAGATTCCCGCCAAAAACTGTTCGAGTGCTTGTCACCGAATTTGTTTGGTTGAAAGGGAGCATCGAGGAATGTAATCTGGTTATCCACAACCCTTTTCCAATCGATGTAATGGTCATCGAAATGTTCATGCATTACCACCGTATTTTTCCTGTGGACATCAACATAGACATCTTTAGGTATCAAGAAAAAAGGAGTTTTGACACTCCTGCAATCTAGAATGGAATCTACAATTCCTTTTTTATCAGACTCCTACATAGATATACAATTGATTAAGATAAACTAAAAAGAGACTTCCTATTATAATTGGTCATTTTAAAACCAACATCACTGCTTCAACGGTAAAAGGATTTATATAATTCAATTAGCTAGGCAAAAAAAACATACCTCTTTTTTTTTTGCCTACTCCACCCATTCCCATCAACTCTCTTCTTTCAGAAAAGAGACCTACATTATTAAGACAAAAGAGAAAAAGTTTTAAAAGCGTTAATAAACTTGTAAAACATATATTCTGAAATTGAAAACTAAACTTCCAAGTCTTTAATTCCCATTAATAAATTGTTCGAGCATCACATCATAACAATATTATATATATGTATGTAGAAACAAAAACAAAAACAAAAAATCAGTATTTAAAACATGAATAAATAAAAGTAACCAATAGCTAAAAACGCTAATTAAAATTTAAAAAAAAGTAAGAGTTTGTAACCTGATAACTGAAGAGGAATGTTTCTTCAACCTTGTTCTTGCTAAATGTTAAGGCCCGACGCTAACCCTAAAAATAAGAAAGCACTCAATTTATGAGGAAGAGGTTTCACAATCTCACTCATAACAATTAAAACACCAGTACTATATGTATCATGTATCAACCCAACCCAACTACGCTTTCAGTTAAAATATTGGACACCTATCTGTAGAAAGAGGTGTGATTACAGATAAGTGTGATTAGCACATATTATACTCAGCTCTTATGTTAAATTAATCCAATAACAAAATACAATGCATCAGTTTAGGAATAATCTTCAAAATTAACAAATCAATATCCTGATATTCTGCATTCTAATAACAAAAGAAAATCAAAAATCAAAAACCAAAATTTGAAAATAAAAATATGGCAGAAAGATTGAATATATCCGTCGTGCATTACATAGATTGTATTTCTATGTGAAACAAAACATCAGGATTTCTCAATGGGGTGGGCTAAATCAAAATATATCAACCAAAATCAACTGTTGTTTAATTCAATTTTAGTTAACTAACAATGTTTCTTTAGACAATTGACTGATTAAGGCATAGAAAATCCTATTTGGTAATTAATAAAAAAAAAAAAAAACTACCAATTTATTTCTGAACAATTCACCACTCAGTACCCTATCTCTTCTTTTGACCAATTTACTAATCCTATTTGAGAATCTACTCGTGGAAGCAGAGTGTGAGATAGTTCATGGCAAGCCCCTTCCAACACTACGGAATTCACTCAAAAGCATGCTTTTTGTAAGTATTTTAATTTTCAAGAAGTAACTTTAGAGCTTTATCTATATTAAGTACTTTTGCTTGTCAAAGTTCTTGTTATGATTTTTTTTTTAGTTCTGAAAAGATTTCCATCTTCAAAAAGCTTGGCATGTTGATAAAAATTGTTTCAGATTCAATCTCTGCAGATTTCTAATCCAATTCAATCCAATTCAGATTTTTTTTTTTTTTTTTCCTTCTTTTTTCATGCCCAATTCAAATTTTCTTGTAGATATAATTGACAACCAAAAAAAAACAGAAATAGAAGTTATAGAAATAAAAAATATATATATTTGTTTTGCTGAAATAAAATGTAGATTACGGTGATTAACTCAAAATGCAATGCAACGATTAACTCAAAATGCAATGCAATGATTGTTACTTTATATTGTAAAAAACATATATTATTTAAAAAAGATCATAAAAAAATTCACAAAATAGGAATTAGTTTGCAAAACAAGAATTACAGACCTTGATTAGTTGATTTAGAAAAAAAATTAAAACAAAACCCATACATACAAGTTAGCAGTTGCAGTGGGAGAGGGGGGCAAGCTTGAGAGTTGAGAGACAGCGGGCCAGCGGCTGAAGCTTGCGAACGGCGAACCCGAACTGGAACAGCGGGCGATGGAAACTGAAAGATATGGGTTTTGATTTTTTGAACAATCTGAAATGATATGCCGAAATGGCCTTTGAACTTTTGATTCTTGCAGACAGATAGATAAACTGAAATATATGGGTTTTGAACTTCTGATTCTCGTAGATTTTGTAGTTTGCAGTTGCAGAGGGAGAGAGGGAGAGAGAGAGAGAGAGGGGGGGTAAGTTCAGAGTCGCCGGCCCTGGACTTATTTATCTTGATTATTGAACCAACTTTGCAGCGGGTCTTTACAGCGGGTCAAAAGTTAGTGAAAAGTTATCTGAAAAAGTTAATTAAAAAAAAGTGTTTTACTGAAAAGTTAAGTGTTGCAGAAAATCACATGGGTCACTGCATAGTTTGACCAGGTTTAGTGTTCTTTTTATTTTTATTTTTTAAAAAAATAATGACAAAAAATATCACTTACCTCTCTTTTTGACAGAGATTAGCCCCAATTTGACATGTATTCCACACCAACACACATTCATACTTTTATAAAATTACACTGACATCATTTCAATGTGACGCAGAATCGTAGAAATTCAAATTAAATGACTAAAATATCTTTTATTATTAAATTAATTTTATTGATTGAAAAATCCTTTGACAAAGTATGCATTCTACCCCTATTTGCAAAAATGGAGTCAACCAGAGAACAATTTTTCATTTTCCTGCATCTCATTCATGGCTCTGAATCTTTTAAATTAAATCTTTTTTATGTTAAATCTTCTCTAAGTTTAATATGTGACACTTAAAATCTATCTACCACTTGTATTAAACCACATCAATTAATTTAAAAAAAGTTTTAAAGCTACACTATTTTTTGAAATAAGAAAAATTCACCATATTTTAAGGACGTTAACGTTATTCTCTCTTCCTCATTTTTTTTAAAAAAGATCACTCCCTCTCTCTCCTCTTGCTTATTTCCACGATTGGGGGAATATTTGGCGCTTGCTTATTTCCACAATTAGGGGAATATTTGGCGCAAAAAATGAATGTGCAAATTAAAAGCCTCTATCATGGATTTTGCAGTTTAAAATTTCAAAAATTAGATGAAGTTTGCAATCTAAATCTCAGAAAAAGAGAGGAATTTTGAAATTTAGATTTCAGAAGAAAAAAAAAAGAGTAAACCAGAGCAATTTTGAAGTTTAAATTTCTAAGAGGAGAGAGAAAGCGATCTTTTCCACATCTTCCTTGAAGACGTAGGTGTGAGAGAAAAATTTACTGCACAAAAGAAATGACCATAGATGCAATGAACATGGAAGTAGACTACCGGTTATGCAGAACGAGACCAGCTTTCTACTTTGTTGGTGAAGACTTCTTCATCCCCGGGTAAACCCAATTCTTCATCTAATTTCTCATTTAATAATTCTTCCCAAAATTCATCATCAAATTCTTTAACCCCAATCCCAATTTGTTCAAGTGCTTGATGTTCTTTTTCTGACTCCTTTCTTGCTCTGCCAAATCCTTGCACCAACTTTCTCTACTTTGTTGGTGAAGACTTCTTCATCCCTGAGTAAACCCAATTCTTCATCTAATTTCTCATTTAATAATTCTTCCCAAAATTCATCATCAAGTTCTTTAACCCCAATCCCAATTTGTTCAAGTGCTTGATGTTCTTTTTCTGACTCCTTTCTTGCTCTGCCAAATCCTTGCATTTCTAATGCAAGTTCCTATAAATTTTGACGCTCCATAAATTTTGAGCCTTAAGGGACCGTATTTTGTCGCCTTAATTGGGTTAGGGCTGGCCCTGGGCTTATTAGGCTTAGGCCTTTATTTTAGTATGGTGGTTGAGTTGACTTGGGCTTGATTGGGTGGACTAATTCTATATATATATTGGTTGGGCTAAAATTAATATAGTATTTTTTTTTAGTGGGCTCAAGCCCACTAGATCCACCCCTACATCCGCCCTTGTCTCCGCCACTTCTCCAAAATTGCTCTTACCATCTTCAGTCAGCTTTATAAAATAAGACACCTTTCCCCATTCCAACTTTTTAACTTTTCTTCCTCGTTCATGCATTTGAAATTAAAACATACTATTTTGACTCCATATTTCTGAAATTTGGATGCATACATATAGTTAGATAACTAAAACTTTAATTAATAATATTATTGAAAAATTAATTAAGCATACCATCTGTTCAACTTATGTACGAGCCTTTGTTTTTTTTTTTTTTTTTTCAAAGGCTGAAAAAGCTGATGAAGTCACCATGAGACCTGCTGCGTCTTGCAATTATAAATTAACCACTCGCAATAAAACGATTCCGTGTAGGATAGCTCTATGTAAAAAGGATATCGAACCCACAGGGAGATGAGATTTGCATTAGTCTTTAATTTCGTTTTATGATTTACATGTAACTTGGTTGGAAAGTTTGTTGGTTGTCACGATTTAGCAAACTAAAATTATAACAAAATATTTAACTAGGGCGAATTAAACTAATTTAAATGATTAGAGAGAGAGAGAGTCTTAGGGCTTTGACTTCACCACAACCATCATATTATGGTTAATTATACTAACTCTAGGAATTTAATAATGATATTTTTCAAAAGAATTGAACTCAATAATATTCGTTCAATTCAGGTTTTAAAGAAAGATGTTTTATAAGATTAGCTAACTATAACCTATCTGCGGTTAGTGTGGACTATCTGCCTACCTATTCTACCTACTTTAACTACTTTGCGAATGAACCACCTTTCCTAAGCAGAGATTATGAAAACATTTTTTTGTAAAAAAATATGAAAATACCATTATATGACTTCTATTCTTGTGTCCGGCAGGGCTCCGCCAGATACCGCACAACAAGATAGGTTGAGAATAGAACATAAACTATTACATGTAAAATAAGGGAATAACAGTTTTTATTCTACTAAAGCGTGAAAACCACTTGAATTGTCTCAAGTGCTCATAGTCATATAATCAAGAAAAATAATCATACATTAAAATAATCCCAGAGTTAAAACAATCAAACCATAATATTAGGTTGGGTTACATCAGTGCCCTAAGAGGAATTAGTTACTCATGACAAGGCTGGATATCATCTGTGTTGAGTTCATCTTCATCGTTATGGATAACACTTCTTTTCTCAGGATCTTCACTTTTTAGGTTGTAGGAACCCTAAAAGCCACCACACCTTCAGCCTTCTTAATAACACCGTTAAAAGAGATTGAAATTTTGGACCTCTTCTATCAAGACTTACGCTTTCTTTTATAAAAGAAAATAAGTATTTGGTGGGCTTTTAGGTTTTTTGGCCCAATTGGGATGAGATACGGCTGATAAAGAGAGCAATCCCGCAATATTAATCTGACATGTCATGGAAGGCTCGAGTTTTAGGAACAAAGGCTCGAGCTTTAAGGTTCAGGCTCGAGCTTAAGGAACAAGGCTCGAGCCTCTCTGGATGGATGCTCGAGCCTCAATAAATGGTGCTCGATCTTCACTTTGACACTTAGCTAATTTTCTTTAACTATTTTCCGAAACGTCTTTTTTTTCAACACTTAGAATATTTTTGGGGTTGAACTCTTTTAACATTGCTCGATCCAAGCTTCATTGGCTCGAGCACTAGGTACCAGGCTTGAGTATTTGGGGCTCAAGGCTCGAGCATCAGTGGATAGTGCTCGATCATTAGTGGATGGTGCTCAATCCTGGAGGTGAGGCACGAGACCTGGGAGCATAGCCTTTCAATTAAATCAACTCTTTTATCTCCGACGCCTCATACTCGAGCTTAAGGGTCAAGGCTCGAGCACCCTATGGTAAGGCTCGAGCACCCTATGGTAAGGCTCGAGTACCAAGCTACAAGGCTCGAGCTTTTGGGCCTTGTTGACTTTTCTTCTTTTCTTTGTTGTGATGCTTGAGCTTTAACGCTTGGGCTTGAGTTCTAGGGCTTGAATTTCTTCAAACTTCACCATTTAAGCTCTCAGCTTACTCTGAATGACCGGCAACGACTCTGTAAGCTTCGATATCATCATAAAGTCCCAGTTTTAACCATTTTTCTGGAAAAATACCTACAAACACACATTAAACATAAATTAGTCTAATTATGGATAGAAGTATCACTTTAGGCCTTAACATATACGCATTTAGGGGCTCGAATATGCATATATTCAGCGTTCAAAAAGACCCAGCGTGACCCACCATGTTTTGAATGAACCTAAGTAAGTCCGATAACACATTCCCCTTGTAGGCTTGGGCTTCCTCTTGTGCCTGTTGTTATTGTCCTTTTTGTGGGTGTCGTTGTTGTCACTCTCGTGGCAGTAAGTTAGTAACAGCTGTTGTTCCTCATGTGGCTACTCCTGTGGCTATAACAATTGTTGCGGGTAAAGTTGGTGTCCTTGGACACCCAAGGAAAGCTGGCGTCCGCGTCCAATTTGACCCTAATAGAATCCCGACTGACCCATGTAAGGCTACAAGTATTGGACTCCCTGTGGCTGTTGTTTATGTTCGACTCTATGTTGGGCCTCTATTTACAGGACTCCAATTTGTCCTTGTAGAATCCCAACGGTGGCATGTAAGGCCCCAAGTATTAGACACTCTGTATCTGTTGTCGAACCTCTATAACCTTCTGTTGTTGGGCCTCTTTTGCCTTCTGTTTTTGTACCACTTTTGCCTTTTGGTATGCAAGAACATGAAATGCAATACAAGTTCGTCCTTTTCTTAATGGTGTTTCTTCCCGATGGTTTTTGGTAATCATCGTGTCTCAATCTTTGTTATTGCATTGATGGGGCAACAAATCAATAGCCAAATTAATTTGAGTTGTATGTGCATTGGATGGCAATAATCTAGATATCGGCAGATTGCATTATAGTGCTCAAAATTTTCTATATTATCCATCAAAGCAGGATGTTTGCTTAAATTGTCCGCATTATAACATAAAATAAAATGAAAACGAAAATCCGATATAAAAATAAAAAGAAAAAAGAAAAAGGAAGAGGAATAAATTTTAAAAAAAAAATGCTACAATAAAATAACTTACTTTGCTTCACGAATCTCAAAGAATTCTATGAACCTTTACCAATAAATTAGAGCAGAAGAATTTATTTGCTTAATCTCACCATCTAAAATATCTTTTAATTCATTTAGATCAGTGTCTTTACCTTCTTGAGTTGCCTTTCTTATAACTTGGTTCACTTTTCTTTGGATGACATGCATCTTACCTCCTTTCAGCACCCAGGAAGAATGGTATGAGAGCTCACCATGTATTTTGTC